TTCTGGTTTTTCCAAGAAAATTGCCAAAAAAGGAAATTTTTTAGGAAATTTAGGATCAGCGGAAAGAGTTTTTTTAGTTTTTTAAATTTTTAAATAATTAAGTTTATAATTATACCAATAACAAGCTGATTGATTTGTAAAAAGAACTATAATACCCTAGTTTTTAATCTTTAAATAAAGATAACATGCCATCCAACCTAATTGAAGATTTAAAAAAAAAAATAAAATAAAAAATAAAATAAATAAACAAAAACTATATGTATAGTTGAAATTATTTATTATCGATTCAATTTTCTCAATTAATTGTATCATTGTATCAAAAATCTACAATTTTCATCACATGTATAGTAAAAACTCTTATTTGGGAATGGTTTTATTTTAAAAAATCATTGGGGATTAAAGTTTAAGAACATATAATAAATTTATATAATATAATATTAAATTACAAAATTTTATTTTGATAATTATTAATTTAATATTAAAACAATATTATTTATTGAAAAATTAAAAGATAATGTAAGAGATGGTATTCTTGAACATTAATTTTAATAATACTTTCTACTTTTTGCAAATAAAATGTATTTGCCTAATTTTTTTTCTTTTTTTTTTATATAAAAAAAAAAAAAAACTTTAAGCTAGCAAAGTACCAGTTATGAAGTGCCATATACAAGACTATAAATTGGAAATATGCAAACCTTCGATGCTATACTTAATTAGTTTTCTACTTGGTACGTACAGAATTAAAAATAGGTATTATTTATTATAAAAGTAACTTTTGCAATAGAAATCTTACGGATTAGAAGCTCAATTAATCATTCGTCATCATCATCGTTAGACATTATTTCTACAATAAGATTGGCGGATGGCCAGAAACTATTTTCTTCTTTGATCGTCTTGAATTTATCGACACGATATTCTATTCGCGGAAAAGGCGACACAAGTAGAAAGTCAAATTTGTGGACGTAATCTTTTGGCGGTTGTGGAGTTTCAGAAGAAGTAGACTCCTTTCGTAAATGATAAGTGTCTACGAAGATATATAGCATCTGCCAGCACGAGAATCAAGATTATGGTTAATAGGTGGAAGCGTCATACCATGGAACCAAAAAAAAATTTTAAATATGTATCAACCTCAACAGTGTCATCTGCCCTAAACCTCCTGATGACCTTATCTCCACTTGCCAGTTTAAAGCTCAATCTTGTCACTTCTTTCTCATCGTGGGAGGGTTCAGGGGGTAATTGGGCCAAAGACCATCTTCTCCATTTTTCCCTGTTTTCCAAAAACAATTGACGTTCTTCCGCTTCTTTCCTGGCGCGTTCTTGTATTTCACGTGCTCTACGCTCCTTTTCCTGGTCAGCATGCAAGGAAGCGAGATAGGCGTGATCCTGTTGTTCGCGAATTTTGCGAGCACTTTCACGTTCTTCTCGATCCATGCGAAATCTCTGCAGGCCGGGGCCATAGCGGTTTATTTGAATAGTAAGTCTCGCTATGAGAGTTTCGGGACTCGATAATCCTTGTGTGATGATGTTAACATTCCATTCGTGAATGGTAAGTGGAAATTGAAACGAATATAACGATCAACGATATTGTACCTTCGATACGATCAACCACCGTCATCTTCGGACTTAATCCCGAGCTACCGTGAGGAGTTTGAAGAACAATCACTGCCACAAATGGAAATGTGGTTGACTGCAATATGACGGTCGCTTTAGAAAAATAAATAAATAAATGATTACACATATATTTGATTTTGTCAATGGTAGAATAACTCGAGAATGTATGAAAAAAATATGCGACACAAGTTCAACCTTGAAATGCTTCCGGATCTTTGACATTTCCCGCCCACACTAATATATTATTATCACGAAGGAATGATATCAAATCATCCGATGTTAACGTTTCTCTAACAAATTTCGCATCATAGGAGCAATCAGTGTTTAGATAAACTAGGCGTGAAATTATTGTAAATGTAAATGCATGTACTTGTTAAATTTCGCGGTATCATCGTGTTCGTCAGCTTCCAAAATCACCATCAGAAAACGGTGATCGTTCTTTGCCCTATCCAAAGCCTATCAATATAGAATAGATCAGACTCAAAGTGGGTGCGAATCGCGACCATGAAAGTATATCCAGAAATGCTGGTCATTAGGTGCTATCATTAAAACCTACTTGAGAATAAGTTCCCTGAAAGAAATCTGGGTGCGCAACACCATATTTTTCTTCAAAATTCTGTATGAATTGCGCGGTCAAACGTAAATCTCTCGCGCGTTGTGCCTGAGTATCGACGATCACAGGCCGCGGAATTATAAAATACAAGAAAGTTTGCAGGACGTTCTTTAATAAATTAAAACAGGCGGTAACAATGGTTATCAGAACCATGCTTGCGAAACTTTCTAAAGATTGCTTGGCATACAGTACGGAAGAAAAGATATCGTGTATATATAGATAATAGAGGGAAATTGAAATTGCAAGATTATACTTGGAGGAGGATAATGTGCCAAACTTAGCAAGATACGATAAATTATACACGGCACAGTGTGTGTCGCGAAGAGGGGAAAGAAAAAAATAACGAATCAGGCAATTTAAGTGTTCTTTGTTTTCAAGCATATGATTGCAGTTTTATATAAGTTATTGTACCCACATAATTGTATTACGATTATGCAACAATGTGACGTTTGGTCATCGTGCTGATTTTTGATATGCTGATCTTTTTAACAAAACGGATTGAGTCACACGCCAACGTACGTACGTACGTACTTATACGTACTTGCTTTTCATAGAATTAACGACCGCTTTTGACAGATAAACTCGCAGGACTTTTTTTTCTGCTCACATAATTGACCAACTTGTAGCATTCTGTTTTATTGCTTATTTTAAGTCGAAGGGTTAAAGGTACGCGTCGTCGTCCGCAGTAAGTTTCTTAGAGTGTGGTTGACTTGAATATTTTTTTTCGTCATTAGATGGTTATCCCCGACCACAGTAAGCTTCCGCCAGTTGCGTCTCTTATTAATAAATTCGAGCAGAACCCAGACGAGACCTCTGGTCAAAATATAAGCCGAGCTCGCAGTCCAGTCGGAAAATTGGTCCATAATTATGGTGTGGTGACTGAGCAGGAGGGGAAGCAAAATGAAACAACAATTCCTGGCAAATTAGTTCACAGTTTTGGTACGACAATCGAGCAGGCGGAAAAGCAGGAGGAAAACAAAGTGACGATGACCAGCATTACCATAGAGAAAAGTGTTGAGAATATTCAAACGAGCGAAGAGAAGGTTGATGTTCCCACCGATAATGGTAAAATCGATGAAGGAAACGAGACCATCAAGGAAGAAGCAGTGATTGAGACCTCTGTGGTTGTTGAAGAAGAACATAAGGAAGAGGAAGTCAAGGAAATGGAAGAAAATAAAGAGCAGGAGGTCGCGATTGCAACCGTGGAGGCCGAAGTAAAAGCACCATCCTCGACTAGTCCCACCGTTCAAAAGAAAAGTACGAAGAAACCTGGCATCTCATCTACGTCCACACAGAAGAAGGTTTCTACTACCGCAAATAAGCATGCCACCAGTGTACCTAAAACTATCGCCACCTCCACGAATAAAAAGCCGGCTGACAAGAGTAAACTGACTCCCGGCACCACGACCGCTCGTCCAAAATCTCCGTCCGGGAGACCCACGACCACCACTCCCACCGCAGCCAAAGTAAAAAGTACTACCAAAACAGTAAAGACAGCCACCACAACCTCACATGCGGAAAAACCTAAACCCAACACAAGAGTGACGACCAAAACTACCTCCACCAAAATCACGGCTCCCAAACCAATATCAACTTCTTCCTCGATTCCCGAGAAGAAAAACGTGACTAAAGTTCCTCCGAGATCCAGGCCTGCAGATAGACAGGTTAAAAAAGATCCCAAAGATGGCAAACCTCTTAGTAAGAAGGTTCAAGATAAAAAGGATTCCACGTCACACCACCCTGAAAAAAAGGAAGAAAGCATGAACCCTGAGAAGGACAAAGAGTCTCCTGAAGCCCACGAAACAAGTGAACATGTCGAAATCACAGAGACCGAATCTCACGAACATGAAATCAAAGAGAAGGAAGATAACCATGAGGAGGAAGATAACCACGAGAAGGAAGATGATCATGAGAGAGAAGAATTGCATGAGAATAACAGCGAGATTTCTGCGACTGAATCACACGAATCCCATGGAGAAGTATCAGTAACCGAGTCACATGAGTCCCACGAAGAAGTGTCTGTAGCCGAGTCACACGAATCTCTTGTGGAAGTTTCGGTGACCGAAACAGAACAACCTGATGCCGAACATCACGCAGAGGTGGCAGAAATTATTGAGACCGAGGAAAAAACGGAACTTCTCACGCCGGCAAAGAATATAAGCCCTGACACTGAAGAAGACATCACCACTGAAACGGTGGGTATTGTGAAGGAACCTTGATTCAAAGGAAAAGACACGATTCTTTCATTGGTAATATGTATTTAAATTTTTCTGTTGAATTACTATAGGATTATATCAAATTGGAATCATAATAACGGAAAAAACTTGACAGAAACTGATTTCGGAAATAGAATTAATATACAAATCATATTTATATTGATTATGCAGGGAATTCTCTATAAAAAAAAAAAAATTCTGAACAAAATCATACAGTAGGATATTTTTTCATGAATAAAATATTTTATTTGGAATTAACCTTATCTTTTCCCAAAAATTTCCTGTCTACTATGAACGAAACAAAATTCTGATTACATAAAATTTCACAATGCACGTCGTTTCTTTTTTTCCGAGTTTAAATCAATCAATTAAAATTTCTGCGTGCGTGTATATCACTTTCCCGACGATCACCGCCGTGTAACTCGCCATTCACCACAAACACTTCCCGGTGCTCGTCATCAGCTTTCGCAATCTACCTTCACAATTATCTTTACAATATGGGTGGAACCCAGAGTTCAACTAAAGGACGAGGTTATCATGTGTTGAGGGTATGAGTGCTGGTCGGTTAGAAATTTCGGTGAAATAGACTGAATAGAATGATTCGCTGATATCTTAGGTTCAAGAGAACTCCCCCGCTCACAAAGCAGGAATGGAGCAACTTTTCGATTATATAGTTGGAATTAATGGAATACCACTGGTACGTACGCTATACGGGGATGGTTCACGATCAACTCACCTTTCTAAACGCAATGCTGTGGGCTTCTCAGGATACGGAAGCTCCCATATTCCAGGAACAACTACTTTTAAATGTCGATAAGGAAGTAATACTGTTGGTCTACTCCACCAAAGAACAGATGTATAGAGGTTTGTTCTGATCTTTATTGATACAATGGTCATGTTTATTTCTTTATGCACCCATCTTCACTTTTTTTTTCTTTTCTTTTTTTTTTTCAATAGAGGTTTCTTTAATTCCAAATAAAAACTGGACAAAAGATCCTGAAAATGGCCTTATTGGTAATTAACAATGATCTCTTTCTTCCGTGCTCTCAAAGAGTTCTAATACTGACATTTCTGATCACTTAAAATAGGGTGTAGCATTCGATATTGTTCATACGCGGTAAATTTTCACTCTAATCAAATATTATGTTGATAAATAGATGTGCTGATGCTATATATATATATATTTTTTTTGACATTTCCTCAGAGTTTAAATGAACACGTTTGGCATATATTAGACATAGCACCAGACAGCCCTGCGGAGATGGCAGGACTAGTATGTACCGATGACCATTTAAGTTGACTTAATCAATCAAAATCTTCATTAACAAACAAATGATACTTTTAGCGTCCTTCGACAGATTACATTATCGGGACACCACATGAAACGCTACTTAGCGAAAATGATCTATACGATTTGATAGACGATTACATGGGAAAGCCTCTTCGTCTTTACGTATATAATTCGGATTTTGATGTGTGCCGTGAGGTTTGTAAAATTAGTTCAGTTTTTCGGTTTCTAAATGCACTTCCTGACCATCATATACCATTCATTACGTTAGGTTATTATTGTCCCTAACCAGGAATGGGGCGGCGAAGGATCTCTGGGATGCGGAGTTGGTTACGGGTATTTTCATTTCTTAACAATCTTATTAAAAATCTTGAAGTTTTTGCCATCTTTACTAACAAACGAAAATTTTATGAAGATATTTGCATAGAATTCCCAAGACTCATAAATATCAATCTCTTAGAAAAAGTTTTGAATTAACGTGGAATCCTACAACATTTCCCTTTCTTAATTCTTCTGACTTAACATCTTCACCGTCAAATGCTGAGGATCCAGACGCAACACCTTCCACATTTATTCCTTTCGATTCTAACATCGCAACATCAGCCTCTATCATACAACCCTATCACTCTAACCAACCATTTGATGGAAACGGTAAACAAGAAACGGTTGAAGTTGGTGGTCAACTTGAAAAGTCTTCACAGGATGAAACGAATCCAAAGCACGTTGACGAAAAATCAGAAAATATTATTTTAGAACCTAATAAACAATGAGGATCACTAATGTTTGTAAAGAAGAATGTTAATCCTGTAACAATGGGAAAATCAAATTGAATAATGTATTATAGGGTGATCTATTTTTAATTTAATCCGGAAAAGTTGTGATAATATATAATTTCTTTCTTTCACCAAATATTACGTTAGATCCTAACAGCGAACACCTTCGCATGATAGACGACCAAAACTAATAATTCCACCTTTTTTTTTTTTTCCTCTTAGCATAAAATGTTAAATTTAGTAAGACGCCGATAAACCGAATTATAGTGACTGCTACTTTCTCAAAATTTTGTCAACAATTATTGAATTGATATAGAATACAATATAACCACCCCATGGTTTTTATACAAAAAAAAAAAAAATATTCAAAAAAAAAAAAAAACTCATTATTCGAAGACAAGTGAGACTTCCTTTTTTTTCAATTTTCCCATTCCCAGACTTCTCTGATCCATCGTTCTAAAGGTACATGTCTTTGGCATGACTTTTGAATGAATGGATGGTCAAGCATTTGTTTAGGTGTGGGTCGTTTTTCTCCGTCTTTCTCCAAACTTCATATAAATCAAATTTCCATTGTTAGCTTTCTTATTTAATGTAACATGTGATATTAATTATCAGGGCAGGAACTTACCAAACTCTTAAAAAATCTTTTAGATCATCACTCCATTTATGCTCGT